TTGGGAAATGCTGTCATTTTTCGTACTTTGTGTTGCTTTTATTTATCACTGCAGGTCCTGGTATTCATATCCCAAAGGACGCTTAAGATCGGCTCCTGGGTCCATTCACTAAATTTGATAGTGTGCAATGTGTATTGTCCCTGGATTTGCCGTCTGGTTTTCTGTTTAAAGTTACAATTTCATATTTTCTAAGAAAGTCAAAACATAATTATTTCTATGTCTTTTGCTCAATAGGTTGTCAGCTCACAATTATACGATCATAGGTGTCATTCTCACACTTAAAACTCATTTACACAGGAAATAATAACACAATTACCTCCCAATTACCTCCCTTGTTTTCCTATTCCCCACCACGGAATAGCTATCTTTCAAACGTTTGAATTTGAAGTTGAAAATGATATTTTTGCCAATTTCTCAACTGGCAATAGTGAATTATAGGATTAATAGGATTATTCTTTAACAAGGTAGGACTGTTTATAGATACCATCTATTTTAGGGCTTTATTTTAATACATTTTAATAATATAACCTAAAAATATGAAATTGTAACTTTAATTAGCGCGATTCTCCTACACTTACTATTATAGTTAGAATGCTCCTAATCCTGGGGGTGATCGTTTTAATAAGTTTTTCAATATGTAATGAATTATACAAAACCTTACACAATTCTGTGGTAAACAAATCAAAGTAGATCCCAGGAGACTTCAGGAAAAACCAATATCACATATCGTAATAATATACATAATAATTCACTATGTTAACATTATACAGCTTATGAATAATGAACGTTTTGTAACCCTTTTGGGAAATTATAATGACCACTACATTCATACTACAATTTTATTCCATTAAAGGCCCAAGCGCACCTTCCTGGAAATATAGGAATATTACATTTTTTTCTACATTCCTGGGTTTTTATTGTGGATGAATGAGTCCATAGACTACCATTCTTCGAAAATATCGCCTTATCAAAGTTAAATCATCGGTAAATTTTCCGAAACTCACTAAATTGAATTGTTTTACTTGGGTCTACTCAAGGGTGCGAGTATTTAATTAACAGTCACAGATAAAATCTACCCAGAAGCCAGAACTCCGCTATCTTTACAGTTATGATGATACTTACGAATCTGTATACGGTATAGAAGTATGATTCGGGGATTGTTTTACCAAATTAATAATTAGTGACATGCAGTTACAGTTCCCGTTAATACCACGTAAAAGCGATAATTTCATATTTTCTAAGAAAGTCAAGACATAATTATTTATACCGGTATATCTGTTGTTTAACTATAGGTAGTCAAATCCTTATCATAGGCATCATTCACATACCAATTTAAAATATTTTCTACTCGCCTACGGTACTTGGAAATTGTTTCATTTTTCACTAAGTCTATATAATGGAAGTGGGCGATTGTCCAGGCCTGTGGTTAAACAGATAAGAATAATGGTACCTGGTTTCGTTCGTTGCGAAGTGTTCCTTTCCTACTATAGAAGATAAGCCATTTCTATTAGCTAACATGAGGTCATGCTAGCATCTAACATTTGTGTTATTCGTCGAAATCAATATCAATTTAAGTTGTTATTTATATTTTAAAAATAAATAAGAAAAGTCTGCCACATTGCTTCATGTGGGAATTTCGTGACTTATACAGTTAACCCATTTAAGCACGGCCACTTGACGATCTGGCATTATCTACTGTTTTCCAGTGACATTTGAGGCCATTTTCCGCTTGTTAGATTGTATCAAATCACAGTATTATTGCAATTAATATGTTATAGGATAGGATACTGTCTAGAATCCTGAACTTTACGATCTTGTGTCTATTTACAAATTTATAATGTAGTTTCATTTAGTGATTGTCTCGGTGAGCTACTATGAAATAAGTCAACATTGATAGAAACCAACGAGGAAAGCTCAGTCTCACGAAAAATTTGTCCATATGCTTGGTCCAGGGTCTGCTTAATCGAGGCAGCTTTACTAACTCTAAGACAGACATGAAATATATCCCGATTATCCAAGAGGAAATTTTCAAACCTGGTTGACGTGTCCTACCCACCATTGATATTTGAAAGAGGTTATACCTTTTAACCAAATTTACACGGTCAAGATAAATATATATTATTATTTTCATTGTACTGTGTAGCTACTAAAACAAAAACTCGATAACCATTGCACTTTTAACGTTTAACTGTTGAATAAAAACGTGGCTATAAAAAGACTACCTAAAAAAAATCGGTGGATATTAAAGATACTACAAACTGTGTGAATTGATGATATATTTGGACTAAAAACATATTCAAACTAATTAACCTATAAAAAATTTGCTTCAAACCTTTGTATACGCGGGGAGATTCCTCAATCTATAAATAAACTGATGTTAGAGGCCATGTCTGTTATCTCTCTTCCTTGGGTGAGGGTACTTTTTTCAGAATGTATTTTTCATTCCTTACTGCCAATTTACCATAAATATTGAGGCCTAAGTAAATTCTTAATGATTTTCTGTCAACTTCTATTTCCGCCGTTTAATTGCAGGGTCTGTTGTACGTTGAAACCCCTCAATGTTCCCAGAACCTCCTAACCATTTGATAAGGAAATAACAATCGTTCCCTCAGTCAAGTTAGCACGCAATAAGCTGTCAGGCAACATTCGGATTGCCAGTTAGTGATACCCTGGCATGTTTGCCCAGTGCTTGCCACATGGGTGTTCATCGGGTAATCCATTATTTTACTAGTAAGATTGGATGTCTATACTTTCCATACCAAATTTGCCATACTTTTATTGGAAATAACCATCCGATAAATACTTTCGGAACAATGTATCTTTAAGTAGGGTCTATGACCATACTTTTAGATCGACATATATGTGCTTCCTAGTGTGAAACTGAGTTTGACATTTTGTCACTGAGTCACTGACCCCACTGCTACAGTAGTAGTCAGGATGATAATAAACACGATTAAGTTTACTTTACGTGCCACCAAAAGGCTTTGTATTCTGGACGACCGTGCTATTATTTCCAGACCCCACGCTTTTGGTTCCGGGTTTGAAAAGTTGGTTAGTTTGTGAATGTCACAAATAGAATATGGTATCAGGTGTTCAAGAAAGAGTAAACATACCATGTCTCACTCACAACATATAGTAAAATTAAAGTATAGTTTTAGTCTTAGATTTGAGATGGCCGCCAGAAGGCCACAGAAAAATACAACGAAACTGGCTGGCAAGAACATAAGAGTGGTATAAAGAGTGTCAATAGCCTATCTTGTGCACGAAACCCATTACAAATGAGAGCCAAATTATGACCTATCGTTGTTACCATACATCATCGTTTAAGATATTATGATACCATCCTTAAGTAAAAATATCTACTCATCGTGAAACTTGAAATGGATTTGACTTACAATTAAACAGATCCCTATTACAACAATAGAGAAGCTCTACTAATCCACAATAGTATATACTATTCAAAAAAAGTAGGGGATATTTGATTTTGGGGGCATAATACTAAAATATGCAAATGACTACGAAAAAAGTCACTATAGAACCTAACAGAAGAAACATTTCCAGTTACATGTGACGCCCAAACGCACCAATAGCTACCGCATGGAATGCAGGTGATGCTTGGGATCATCATGGGGGTCCAACCCAAGATTTGCACGACTCTGACTTTGAATGTTACAGTCATTGTGGCATTGAATTCCAGGGTGGAATCATCAGTTTAATTGTTTTAGTGACCAGAAAACAAATTTTGATATGCGTCGGCTTACCTAAAATGAAAGGTTACGTGCCCTTGGCATGCTACAGATCGGCACAACACAGGCGGTTGTGGCGCGGACGATGAATGTTTCTCAGTCTGTCATAAGCAGGCTATTGTCCAGATACCGTGATACACAATCTGTACAGGACAGACCACGCTCAGGTCGACCAAGGGCGACAACTCAAGCCCAGGATCGATTTATCCGTACCTTGGCCTTGAGAAATCGTGTCATCACAGCAAATCAGATCAGCGCTCGTCTTCAAACAGACACTGGTGTGAGAGTGAGTGGCCAGACGATTCGGAATCGACTGCATAGGGGTCACCTTCGCGCCCGACGTCCTCGCGTGATCCCTTGTTTGAGAGATCATCACATTCAGGCAAGACGTCGTTGGTGTAGGGATCGTCAACACTGGGATAATAGACGCTGGAGCAATGTGATGTTTTCAGATGAGTCAAGGTTCACTGTTGATTTTTTGGACAGACGTAGGAGGGTGTGGCGTCGTCGAAACGAGCGCTTCCAAGACGTTAACGTCATCAGACATGATCGATTTGGGGGTGGTTCTGTTATGGTGTGGGGAGGCATCACTGTTGCTGGAAGAACGGCTTTATATGTTGTTGCAGGGCGTGTTACAGGCCAGTACTACCGGGACAACATCTTGGCAGTCCATGTTGTGCCGTTCGCACGACGTCATGGCCGCCGTTTCATCTTCCAGGATGACAACGCAAGATGTCACAGGGCCAGGATCGTTACAGGTTACCTCCAACAACAGAACATCACCACATTACCTTGGCCAGCACTGAGTCCCGACCTCTCCCCCATCGAGCATGTCTGGGACATGCTTGGACAGAGGTTACGTCAACGTCAACAACGTCCTGCCAATGTCCAAGAACTTGCTGCTGCGTTGCAACAGGAATGGGACAATCTGGACCAAAATGACCTTAGACGTCTCATTAGGAGTATGCCACGTCGGATCAATGCTTGTTTGGCAAACAGAGGAGGATTTACGCGTTACTGACTTGGTTGTGATGCTGTGGTAACTTTGCTGTTTGACCCCGGGTATCATTTTACCCTTATAATGGTCAGTCTGTGCCTTACTTAGTCTAACGATCATTTGGAATAAATCGATGAATGTGAACTTCATTTCATTTTGTCATTTGTTTCTTCGTCAGTTTCATTAGGTGACTTTAATAACACTTAAAAATCAAATATCCCCTACTTTTTTTGAATAGTATATTTGAATATGCTTACCTTTTCTTCTGTGATGCTGTCCCTCCTTTTGTTTAATCCTTAAAGATATGGGCGTCTTCGTGTCCTTACATATTAAACGTTGTCGTAATGCAAGATTCTTACTGCTTACCACTTGCATTTCTGTTCCGAAACGTCGCAAGCATTCGTCATCAAGTTGACCATAAACTTGTGTCACCAGTACAACACAAAAAATAAAGTCTTTGACACATTTCAAACTGAGACAATTCCTCATGCTGACCCGCATTTTGTTTTCTCAACTTAATATTCTAATGACACAAACACAATTTGGATCTCATATTTAGAATAAATAAATTCTATCTTTAGAGTGGATTCCAGACAGTTTCATTGTTTACCGGAATATTTGTATCCATTCAGCATTACTAAATCCATAGAGATTTAAGGAACGGAGACAAGCTCCACGCAGTTACTTATAAATACTAATTTCTTCGAATCCGCGTTTGATTTTAAAGAAACTAACCTAAAAATTCCCGGAAATGTATCACAAGTAGGAAACCATAACAAAAAGGTACTGGAACAGGTTAATTATTACACGACAATTCCATTCCACCGCATTCAAGCTCGTGACGCGTGCGAGTGACACATAATATTCATTCTACAAAACAGCACGACTCTTAAGAGCACGCGCTTCGGTTCTTCATAAACACGGATGTCAATAAAAGTGAAATTACTGGCCTCAATCCCGCAAGAGTACGGTTCACACAAGATTTATTTCACGGCGATAGCTTGATGATAATAAGATGCTCTATTTGTCTGTTCGAGTTAGTTACTGACCGATCATCAAATCTTGATTGCCCTAAACTGGTGCCATGTCAAGTTACAGTTGTAAACAGACTGCTTATCAATATTCTAGAATAGTAAAGAAATGTCAATATTTTGATATGGATACAAATCTCCATTGAATACATAACGATCAAGGAATAACGCTCAAACAATATTTATAATAGAAGAAACGAGAATGTTCTGACGTTGAACCAATTCTTTTCGGAATAGAGATCAACTCATTAAGTTCACACAAGACCAAAACGTTTTATCTCTAGGCTCCTAATCTAAGAATAAAATTATTCGCACATATAAGCAACGTTTTGGTGTTTAGGTTGGTTGAGGGATAGTGTGTGGTATTGGAATTGCGTTCCCCTATCTTCTTTTCGAAGCAGTATAAACACATTTTGTTTGACGTAAATTGGCTTTGTTCCCCATACCAGGCAGGCGACCAGTAATAATGATAATAATAATAATGAATATTTATATTGCGCGAATTCCATCCAAAAAGTATGCTCGTGGCGCAGGTTTGTTTAACTATTCAGTTTTATAGTTCACTTTTTATAATAGGATTCAAACAGATGGGATTTTAATTTTGATTTGAATTACGAAGTTTTGAGATTCACGGGTAAAGAGTTCCATAGCTTTGGTACAATGAAGAAAACGTCGAATCTCAAAGGATTTAAGTTTATAACTTGGTACCGTTAAATTGTGACCTTAGGGTGCGTTTGGGGATATATTCAGATATCATTGAACAAAAATATTTTGGGACTTTTCCATTTAAACATTTATGGGCCATACACAGGAGTTTGCAATGGATTTTGTGGATGATTGGTAGCCAGTGCAGTTCCTTTAAACATGTGTAATGTGTCAGTTTCTGTCAGATCTGCAGACGATCCTGACTGCAGTGTTTTGCACAACTTGAAGTTTGTTTATCAGGTTCTGATTTACACCACAGGGTAGACTATTAAAGTAGTCGAATCGTGAGGAAACTAATGATCTGACTAATGTATACGCAGCATTCTTTGTAATAAGATGTCGAATTTGTGTAGCAGACTTTACACAACTGATTGACATGATTCTCCATACTAAGCTCAGAATTAAGTTGGACACTTAAGATCCTTAACCGAGTTAACAATATTTATTTGAGAGTCCACGATTTAGATGGTAGATGCTGATTTATTAGAAAGCTGTTATTTTGTACCAATAAACATAACCTCTGTTTTGTCATCACTGAGTTTGGGCATATTATTGATCATCCATGATAAGATATCTTTTGTACATAATGTGACTCTACTAAATGGATCCTAATGGTCTGTAGAATTCCCGCTGTCAATAATTTGTGTATCATCAGCGTAAGAGTGGTACAGCAACTGGTGCTTTTTAAGTAGCCTATATTTCGAAAGATTAACATAATCTAAGTTGGTGTTTGTAATCTTTACCGATTGACTGCGACCGAGAAAGTAAGATTCAAACCATACCAGGACACCATCTGTTAAGTCAAACTCAACGTGAAGTTTGTTTAAACGCATCAATTGATCGAAAGCGGCTGAAAGATCCAACATTACTAAGGAACAACAGTTACGCCTGTCGACAATAAATCTGATATCATCCACGACCATGAGAAAGGCTGTCTCGGTTGAATGGCCTTGACTGTAAGCTAACAGATAATGACCTAACAGTGAGTGCCGAGTCAAATGAACGTTCAACCTAATGTTTACAGCTTTTTCCAATATCTTTGAAATAAATGGTAAATTGAATACAGGGCGATAGTTCTTGAATATTTCCAATGCATATTTAAACATTTTTGGAAAGACGCCCGATTGAAGACTGTGTTATTAATTATCAAAGTTATTGTAGGAAGAACCACGTCATTTCGGGACTAATATATGGTTTAATTTTATTTCAATAATTCGCTTACGCATAGGGGTCTTTAGCAGTGGGAGGAAACCGGAGGACCCGGAGAAAACCCACGAGGTTGGACAGGCGACCCTACTCCTTGTCACGTACAACCGGGGATTCGAAACCACGCCAGTCGACTCAATGACAGACTTTATGATACAGCGCGCGCACAATAACCATTCAGCCACCCCCCCCCCCCCGTCTGCAACTTGAATCACAAGGGGTGTGGGAATGGGGTGTGATGAACAAGTGGTTGGCTTAGATGAACGGATAATCTTCAAGGCATCATTTTCAGAAAATCTCTGAAATTCCCCAAGTGCCCCACCAGGAAATTCAACTGTTGAATCAATGGAGGTTAAATTATCAGAAGATTCAAAAAGCAAGGTTTTGATTATGATTATATTGATCTTGTCTACAAAGTAACGATTAAACTCGTCGGCTAGTTCCTTGGACTCGCAATTTCATTTCAGATTTCTTACCCAGGAGAGAATGCATGAATGTGTTGATCTTTGCCACGGTGCTCGAGCTTGGCCAAACAGTAGTCACTTTTAGGTTTTCGGATAACGTTGGTTAAGTTAGAGTTCTGAGAACAATACAGTTATCTGTGAATCTCCAATGTAGATTTACGCTTAATATCTCACACTCTTAAGATCTGAAAACATCCCTTAATATAACATGTACTGGCTTAATTTAGCGTTTTACATTCCCCAAAGATATAGCATTTAGCTGAACAGAACGGTTGAATTAAGGAAGCAAGTCGAGGTTAAGCTAGTTAAAGTTAGATTAACGGGCAAATTTCTGCTCACTAATAATTTCTTCGAAGACCAAAAATTGTTACACGAGACTATGGGAGGATATTTGACAATTCATAACAAAAATTGACTGTCACTTAGTCTAGATATAAGAACACGAAAAAAAATAGAAATAGTCCATGCATTACCGTTTTTATTAAGTATAGAATGAATAAAAACAAGGGAATGTACGGACTATTTCTATTTTTCTCGCGTTCTCTTATCTAGTGACATTCAATTACTTTTTTGAATTGTCAGATATCCTCTTAATTTGAAGGAATTATTAGTGAGCAGAAATTCGCCCGTATATCGGTTATCAGTCAGTTATATAAAGGGATAACTCGTGTTTTCCTTTTGCGTTCGGCATTTCCGATTGTTGAAACCTTCATAACGCATCTATCGTGGTAATGATCTCTGTGTTGAAAATATATTTGGAACGTGTTTAACGAGTTCTTTCACATATGTGATAATGACTGACACCAATAGTGTCCTTAACTGGTATTGTTTGGAATATAACTTCCAACATCCAAGATCTTGGATAGATCTTTGGTAAGATAAATCATTCCGAGAGAGAGAGAGAGAGCGAGAGAGATTGTAACGTCCACTCAACATATGGTTCAATTTTGTTTTTCAATAATTCGCTTGCGCGTCGGGGTCTTTTAGCAGTGGGGGGAAACCGGAGGACCTGGAGAAAACCTGCGAGGTTTGACAGGCGACCCAACTTCTTGCCACGTATAAGCGGGGAATCGAAACCATGACACTTGACTCAATGACAGACCTTATGATGCAACGCAGACGCGTTAACCATTCGACCACACAATCCCCCTAAATCATTCAGCTTCCAATCAAAGTGTAACATAAAATGGTCCTGTGGGTGAATTCGAGTAAAAGTTTTCAAAAATGTCTAAACCTCTTAATGGTGGAAAATGCCGAACAAAATGATATTGTTTCGCCCAGACCGTCATAACTCAAAATAGCTAAGAAAACGGCTGAATGATGAATGCTTCGGACTAGGATAAATCCAGTACATGAAAGTGTCTTAACAATGTAAACATACACGCCAATTCGTAACCTTAGGAACAAAGGTGACCAGAAATTATAAACCAGTGAATTGTCTTCAGGGGATGTTGAGAGTAAATTAAGACAACTAATAGAGATAAACTACTGATAGAGATAAACAATTGTTAGATATAAACTGCTGAAACGGATAAACAAGTGATCGAGATAAACCACTGATAGAGATAAACAACTGATAGAGATATGTAAACTAATGATACAGACAAACAAATGTTCGTGCAACAGAATAGAAATGCCAGATGACTCTAAAGCAAGAATCGCGTCTTTAAACCAGTCGTTTAACTCGGTTCAATAGAGATAAAAAGACAATTATAAATACATTTAGCTAATAGAAAGGAAATGTTTAAATATTTAGAATTTCGATGTGGATTTTAAAATAAGGCAAAATGTTTGACATGTACTAGTTGTTTATTGATATATATTCGACATTATACAATCCAGAAACCAGTAAAATATCTAGTCTGATATTATCCAGATGTGTCAATTTATTCACTTGTTGCTTTAAGAGTAGATAATAAAACGTGCACATACTATTTCCTTATTCTACGACAAATATTGATGGGTGATTATTATTCCTAGTCTGGTTCCTCATTTTCATTTTACTTGGCAGTTTCTGGCGCACATTTTAGTTATTATGATTATGTTCTGTTTATCTAATCGTTTGACAAACTATTTTTACGAATAGAAGAATATCAATCATACATTGTGACTTCAATCAATACGTTTTGATTGATTTTTATCTCACCAATCTCTGGTGTTAGAACAATTTCTTTTGGTAATTCATCATTTTGTTGTTCGGTTATGAATATTGATTTTGCCAGTCTGAATTAAATGCAATGAAATGACACCGTCTAATGAAGACGCGAGTCTGAATTAAATTCTGAAAGTAAGTGGTTGGAGTCTCGGTGTTTTGTGGGTAGAATACTAGATTTTTTTTAACCCAGTACTACAGTTAAAAGGTCGCTCAAACGTTGGACACGTAACCAAAACGTTGCCAAAAAAGTACTAAAGCGAAGAGACAACGGGATAATATGCTTTCGACAGTTTTTAATTATGATGATTACTTTTCTATTTGCCTAATATTTTACATGAAATGAGATGGGGATTAACGTCTTACGTCCTACTGAATGTTTTACGTGACAAACTATTTTATGATATCAGTATTACAATTACATATATAGTGTCGCGATCGATAACGTTTGATTTTTTTTTTCTGATAATCTCGGATGTTAATACATTTTCTTTTGGTTATTAATCAATTT